AACATTGTGAGGGGATGGCAAGACCTCACTGCTTCGGGTCTTGAGCAACTGCGCAAACACCAGGAGGAAGACGGAACCTGCATGGATCTGGCTCGTCTCTGCGAACGTGGGTGGCCGCGGCGAGCGTCGCAAGTTCCTGCCCATCTACGCTGCTTCTGGAGCACGAGGAGCAACATCACAGTCTGCGAGGGGCTGCTGCTCTACAACAACCAGATCCTGGTTCCTGCGGTGCTCCGACGTGACATGCTGACCAGGGGATTGGCCGTTGCAAGGCATGGGCGCGCAAGTCCGTGTGGTGGCCGACACTGAATTCTGAATTAGAACAGCTGGTGGCCGGCTGTGAGACCTGCGCTCAGACACGGGTACAGCGCCACGAGCCACTCATGGGCTCCCAGACGCCGAGCAGGCCTGGTTCCGGGTGGGGGCCGATTTGTTTGAACAAGGTGGACGCCACTACCTCCTCACGGTAGATTACTATTCGCGCTACCCAGAGGTAATTACCCTGTCATCGACGTCTTCCTCGGCTGTTATTGCAGCAATGAAGAGCATTTTTGCACGCTTTGGCATTCCCACTGTCGTCGTCTCCGACAATGGGCCACAATTCTCCTCAAGGAACTTCGCCTCCTTCGCTGCTTGTTAGGGCTTCCATCACCTAACCAGCAGCCCCCGGTACCCGCAGGCCAATGGAGAGGCTGAACGCATGGTGCGGACAGTGAAGGACCTGCTGGCCAAGAAAAAGTATCCCTACCTGGCCCTGCTCGTTTATCGCGACACCCCGGGAGTAAGTGGATAGAGCCCAGCGCAACTTTGATGGGGAGAAGACTGCAAACCACCGTGCCGAAGCCTGAGGAGGCCCTGATCCCTCGAACACCTCCAAGGACGCTCTTCCACCAGCGAGACACGTGTGCTCGACGCCGACAGGCGCAGGACTACAACAGGCGCCACGCCGCTCGTCCACTCCGTCCGCTGTCTCCGGGCGAAGATGTTTGGCTCGCAGATGTACCTGGAGCTGTGCCTGTCCTGGGGCCAGCAAGACGACCTCGCTCGTACGTTGTGCAGACGCCCACAGGCATACTTGGGCGGAACCGTCGTCATCTCGTTCCATTTACACCATCTCAGCCTGCAGTGGAGTCTGCTAGTTCGCCGGTCTCCGACACTCCAGTTGCATCGACCCTACCTCCAGTGCCTCGTCATGCTACTTCGCCGCCCCCGCAACCCCTACATACTCCACTGGGTCTCCGCGGTCTCTGGCGGAATCCCCGGCGCTGGGCACAGCGTCAGTGCCCTCGCCGCAGTCACCAGTGTGCCCTCAGCAACAGGGCAGAGTTTCTCGCTTCGGGCGACGCATCAAGACGCCCGAGAGACTTAATTTATGAAGACAACAAGTTTGTGTCTTTTCCCTGAAGGGGAGATGTAGAGGTCGCAAGTGGCGCCCCCTCACTTTTTTGCTCCTCCGTTGCTAGCCTATATTATCGGCGGCCTGAATAAGTCACTTCACTTGCCGACTGGAACCCGATACGTCTGCGTCTCACTCAACTCCGCGACAGGACATCACCCTTAAAGAAAAAAATTCGAAGAATTTTATGCCGGGACTTGATCCCATAACTCTTCGGTTGCGAGCCAGGCACGCAACCGAATTCACTGCCTAGGCCACTCAGACACTCAAGCATGGCTTGGGAACTAGCGAGAGATTTTAGCTATCGCGTTCAACTCTTAAAGCGAAACTTAAGCCTCCTCCTGTTATTTGTATAATACAATAGCATTTCTTAGCTAACCCCGCCCCCCCCCCCCCCCCCCCCGGCCCCCTCCCCACACCCCGATTTCGTAGACCCTTCTTTCCTCCGAATGCGCAGCAGGTTTGCGCAGTAGAATATATCAGCTCACTTGCAGTGTGCTTGCACCCCATTGCGCCGCGCGTATGTGAAACGAAAGTACTCACTCCTTCACATTCGCACAATTTTCGAAGGACCTGACGACCTTGACGTCGTCCTCGACATCGCTATAGAGGTCGTTCTCGACCTTGTCCTAGAGGTTGTCCTAAAGGCCGTCCTCGAGGTCGCCTAGCGGTCGTCTTAGAGGTCGTTCCAGATGTCATATTTGACATCGTCCACCAGGACGTCGTCCTCGACATTGTCCTAGGCGTCGTCCTTGACGCCGTCCTAGAGGTTATCTTAAAGGTCGTCCTTGAGTACGCCCTAAAGATTGTCCTAGATGTCGTTCTTGACGTCGTCCCAGACGTCGCCCTTGACGTCCATCTTGAGGTCGTCATAGACGTTGTTCTTAACGCCGTCCTTTAGGATGTCGTCCTCAACGTCATTCCAGACGCCGTTCTTGACGTCTGCAGTGGCCTCGGAAGAAAAGAAGGAGGTAAACATGACGAATGCTATCGCAGTTCAGACAACCATCAATGGTGCAGTCAATTTTTTGTATCAGAGATCGAGCCACAATCGTGGTCTCATCTTTATCAGGTATGTTTTACCATCGTCGAACAAAAAAAGGAGGTCTGAAACGGAAAGCAGCGGCGACAGTCCTTTCCAGGCCGCTCTACTTACGGGGCGAATTCTTCGATACAATTGTCTTCGCCGGGATGGTTGCGATCTGAAACCATAGCCGTTATATTCCATAATAATGCTTGATATGTCTCTCGCAGTCGGGATTCTAATATTGAGATTTCCTTAAACGAAATGGCTATGCTTGTTCGTGTTTCATTCAATGTGAGCATGTCAGCAGGGACATCAAGACTTGAATCTACAGGCTTTTGAAGAAAATTCAACAAAAACTTGGCAACTCCCTTTTTAAAAAGCTCAACAGACCATCAAGGCTTCAAGCAATAACAATAACAATACTTTATTTCAACTTAGGAAAGCTGGGGTGTGCTGGAAAGGCCAAAGGCCCGTACCGAGGAGCCCACAATATGGCACGTAATCAAACCACCTATTGTAGCGGATTTGATGTTGCGGATGAAATAGATAATGCGACCGACTCCAAAAGTGCGTAAGTAAAAACGTCCTTCAGGTGTTGTGTTTTACTTGTATTGTCGGGTTTTAGTTACGACCGTGTTTTTTTTTGGAGCTGACGGACCGATGAACTTCTAAGATTCTCCTCTAGTGCCATCGCCTGCGTGTCTCCGGGCGGCGGTGGACAAAGCAGTTTTGTTGCAGCTGTGGTTGCGGCGGCTCCCAAGAGCGGTGTTTTTGCCGTGCTCTGGCATTGAGAGAAGATAGGGCAGTGAACAGTGAAAGGCAGCACTCGGAAGCCACTCAAGGCGGTTGACATTGAGGCTATGAGCAGTGCAGTCATGAGGGAGCAGACAAAGTGCATACCAATCCGGTTGTCACGTGGCTTAGGAGTGAAGCGGGCTCCATTGGAGCTCAAAAGTGAATAACCTCAGGCTCGATGGGAGCGATCAGCTGCGAGACCGATGTCCTCCCCGGAGGTGCGGAGCGATTAGCGGCAATGTGAAGCCTGACGTAGCAGTGATAAGGCCTTGGACGGTCACCGACGTGTCTTGTTGATAAGAGCGGACTTCACATGCCCCAGAGTGGTGCGGTGTAGCACGCCCCACACGCTGTGGCAGCATGCGATCGATCCAGGTTAGCAAAACACTACACAGGTCGACACGGCAATCGTGGCACCACCAGGGAAAGAGACAGGGGGGGGGGGGGGGGGGGGGGGGGGGTAGAGGAGCCAAGTTTACTTGTTGAACCGGCGGTGCGAGCGAGGCAGTTGCAGACCGTAGGTGAAAGATGCCAAAAGTATACCAGACGGGGCAGGGGTGGTGGAGGAGGCTGCAGATTCGCTTTCTGTGCACTCGTCCTCAAACCCGAGTCGTTGCTGTGATCTGGGCCGCGGAAAACGTTCCTCTGGGTGGCAGGTGCTCGGAGTTCATCATCAAGTCTTGGTTACCGATTTGTAGCGCGTGCGATGTTGAGGATGGAATAAATGATGCGACCGACTCCTCTCTTATGTCAAAACGTTATCTTATAAATTTGCCTGCCGTCAGGCTTTTAGTGCCAGACAAGGCCGTTGTTTTTATTGAAGGCGACGGACCGAAGAAGTGTTACAACTATCACGGTATCAAACAAGCAGACCATCAAACCATCGGAACATGAATGTTTAAAAATACGACAAAGCATCACCCTACCAAAAAACCCAGAATAACTTTTCACTATCTGAAGTATGAAACTGGAAATCGAAACTGGAATTCTATCTGGAAACATGAAATCCAGATTGAAGGCAAGGAAATACTTTCTGAAAACCTGCAATCTAGACACAATCCAGATTGATTTTTAGTTGCATAAACCAGAAAGCGGAAAGTTATTTCCATCGTAAACCGGAGACACGGAAAAATAAAAAAACGGACAAAACAACAACAAGTCTCAAACACAGCTTCTAGTTTATTTGAACACCTCCGCTCTTATATATACACCACAACCCTCCTCTCCAAAGGTCGAAAGTTATACTGGGTTTTTCGGTAGGACAGGCATCAAACAATCACGCCATTGAACAATATTACATGTCCCAAAACACACGAGACAGTCAGCCTATCGTATTATGAGCGGTAATCGGTGACCGAGCGCGTTAGCGCACACCTGCTCGGAGCGCGTGGAGCGAAAGCTCGCACAGAAACCCAGGGATCCTGGGTTCAATTCCTACCCCTGCCCGTTTCGATCTGGATGAGCATCGTTCCGGCGTGCGGTCGTGTATCACTACAGCATGGAGCACGTTAAAGACCCCCGGCTAGCGGTTGTACTACATGCACTGACTAAATTGCTCATCAACAGCTGAGAGACACGTGCCATTGAGGTAGACTAGGTTGGGGCTGTATGAACAAACCCACACACCAACTATTATTTTGTTTCTTTAAGCGAACAAGGGAAAACATTTGGGGGGTCCTTTTTGAAGGGTAAGACCTATTCGAAACGAGAAACCGAAAATAAGGCACTCTGGGATATGGAAGCCGTCGCCCAAGAAGACAGCATTCAATGAGTAGCACTTACCCCGGCAATGTACGGTAGAAACATGATGGATGTTTTAGCTGCTCCATCGCCCCGGTGGAAGGTGATGTTGCATTCGTACTCCTGGTTCATGCAGGTGTCGAAGCTTGGACAAAATCTGTCAGGGATTTCGCTTCTCTTAAACTCAATCTCCTCACTGCATCTTGTGGCTTGCATCTAAAAAGCATTGCGAAATACAAAAAAAAAAAAAAATCTATTTTCAAGACTACCGAATATGTAAAGAAATCCAGCCGGACTTAGATTGTAATGACGGCTTTGTCGTCTACAGTAAAAAAGCTAGCATATTTTTCTCTCCTTTATATTGATATCTTGTGCAAACACTTTACGGAAATCAACGCTTCTCTTAAAAGTTTAAGAGTGACATATAGTTTGTTTTTTTCTTTTTGTTTAATTACGATAGAGCGGGGAGGGACGGCAGGATTTCGATAGTGGTCGTCGATGACATATTTGAATCAACTTCGTTCGCGAACTGTATCAGCGAAAAGCAATCAACATTTTTGTTTTGTGTAATTTGTGTATGGTGTCGTTAAACGAGCTTTTAAGTACTCTTGATTACTTATACATAGCTTGCAACGTCACTCTGTTGGACATAATAGCTAGAAAAAAAGGTGCTCGAGAGTGTAGGTTCTGTTGCGCTTAATGAGGCCTTCCGGCCTCCAGAAAAGATGGCGAACTGACGTCAGGTGCAAGTGGCGTGTACACCAACACGCGGCCATGACGTCAGACGACTGTGGTGGCGCCGCTTTGTGGAGAGCACGTTGTCTGCTTCTTGCACAGGGGCTGCGGTGACGTCAGAACGGCGCTGGGTTCTGATTGGATTTGATTGGAAGGATAGTGAGTAGACATCAATGCTAGATACCTTCAGGAATCTACCCCCTTCTAGAGCGCAGCTCTTAGGCGCCCGTTTCCGGCTGGAGCGGTGTCACCGTCGCCGTCGGCGCCGGCGTAACCGCACGGTGCATTATGGGACGCGTGACGTCCCTGATGACGTCATTGATGATGTCATCAGTGACGTCATCACGATGACGTCATCGTCAACATCAGTATTACGTCACTGATGACGTCATCACCAGTGACGTCACTGATGACGTCATTAGTGACGCCATCGCGATGACGTCATCCCATTGTCATCGTCATCATCACGACAACGTCACTGATGACGTCATCACTAATGACGTCATCGTCGTGACGTCATCACGATGACGTCACGTGACCTCACAGGCGCCACGTGACCCCCGTGAGGTCACGAGGGTCACGTGACGTCCCGAGGGTCACTTGACCTGACCGTTACGCCGACGGCGACGCCCACGCCGACGCCGCTCGAGGGGGGAGTAGCAGGCAGGATGAGGAGGTGAGGAGGAGGGAGAAGGGGTATACGCTCCCTCAGTACCTTTCCTTCCTCCTCCTCAAGAGCTGCGCTCTAATTCGGTGTTATAGGGGGTTGTAAGCGACACTCATTTTTTTCGATCAGCCAATAAGAGCTCGGCGTTCTGACATCGTCGCAACCTCCGTGCAAGAAGACGAACCTGCGTTCCGCAGTGGCAGGGCGCATAGGCGTACGCTTCACACAACCCTGGTTTCTCTGCACGCGGAGTACATTCACACCTCGTTTGGGTGTTCTGCGCCCGCCGGCCCACGCCTCGCGGGGGCTTGTTCGTAAACAGCTAGAACGTTAGAAAATGTTCCAACTTTGCACTGAAAACAATTTTACCCTAAACGTTCGATTTTTATTTTAGTAGAATGTTTGAATCATTACTTTATATTTAACGTTAGACACGATAAAAACTGTATATTTCATTTTATACTTGAAAGTAAACTATGCAAGGTGACAGGTTTTTAGACTTTCTACAAGTTCAGCAAGCTGTGAACTAAACAGCCAGTCTTATTGTTCTTACGCGTCACTTAATTTTATGTCAATATTTTATTCTAAAATGTATTTCGTGAGCAATAACTGTTTAGTATGGGAGTGACAAGTTTTTAGAAGTGCTATCTAACAGGAACTGAGGGACACTTGCAGTCTGTGCCAAGCGTAGTCACGCTGTTCTTGGGGTGTTTCTTCTTTAGATAATTTTAGAACATAGGAGGGGGTCAAGGCGTTGCGAAAAAGGAAAAGAAAACGAAGAGCGTTTATGGTCAGTGCGTTTCTTCCACCGCAAGCTACCGGCCTGGTCATCCATCCATCCGTTCTGTTGCATTCTTCCCACACATAGTCAGGGTTGCAAGGTGGCTGCTCCATGTCTCTGAGATGTGTTTCCACAAACCCATACACCATTAAATCCTCCTTTCTTAGTTGCTCCTCTACCTCTTCTCATTTTAACCTATTTCTACCACCCTGCATGTTAATATATCCAATGTCTGATTGTGCTGATTTTTTATACCTGTTCTTACGTTTTCTCCTCTTTTTAACCCTGGGTGCCTCTCCTGACTTTGTTGGGTTTTTAGTTACTTCAGTGCCCCCAGGGCCCTCGGTCCCCCCAAAAAAGCAGTCACCGTGCGGCCCATCCTATCCCCCACCCTGTAACCCGTGGCCTCACTGTAGTGAATGCCATCTGCAAAAGGGCGGGAGCCAGCCTCGTACACTTCTCTGTTTACTTCCATTACGTCGTACCGAAGCTGTCGACTCATACCCTTAATTACTCCGTTGGCTTCGACAACCCTCCTCTCCGTTAACCCGGACTGCCCCCGAACTTCTGGAATGGTGCACACAACCACATGCACATTCTCAGACACGTCCCTCAGCTTACGTATTCCCACGTTTAGCTGCTTTCCGAGGTTCTGGCTCCTACCCTTCAGCACATCATTAAGCCCCGCATGAACTATTACTAGGTTCCTTCCCTCCCGGTTATCCCACACCCCCTCACGTGCTGCGGTCATAGCATCCACCATACACTTCCCTGGCTGGACCTCTACGGTTACCCTCTGGTCTCCCTTCACCCTGTTATGTACACCCCTCCTAACCCGTGCTACGTTAGAGCTCCCCACTACCAGTACCCTAGATCCCCCTGGTGCCTGCGCGCCTTTGTCCTGCGACTTATCTCCTGTCACCTGACTGCCCGACGTCTGCTGCTCGAAGGCGCCATTGAGCTGAGGTTCAATCAGCTCTCCAGCGTCGTCGAGCCCGCCTGCCAACAGGCCGGACTCCCGACCACCAGGGACCCCAGCCTGCAGACTGGTGGTTCGTCCCGCTAGAACTGACACTTCCTCCTTTCTTCCCTCGCTACTCTCACTCGCTCGAATTACCCCTTCCAGGCGCTCTACCCTACTGTCACACTCCCTCTTACGCTCCTCTAAACCCGCCTTCCATACTTCCCCCAGCTCTTCCGCCTGCTTCTCGAGGCCGACCCGCTGCTCCCTCTCATGATTAAGCTGCCTAGTCAGCTCCTCTACCTGGGCCTCGAGACCCACCCGCTTCTCTCCTTCTGCCTTAAGCTGGGCCTCAATCTCCCGAACTCTACCCTCCCATTCCCCAGTTACCTGCTGAAGCTTCACACAAAGCCGACACTCGAAACTCACCTCCGCCGCCACCTCCAGGCTCCCGAACCACCTCCCACACCCCTCGCACTGCACCAACTCGTCCCCACCCTTGTCATGCCGACCCAAATCTAGACCCATGTCTAGACCGGGAACAAACCGTCCCTTCCCGCCAAAAATTCAAACAGAGCCTACTTTGCGAAACTAACGTTAACTGCTGCTGTTCAAACCTAATACTGCTACCGCATAGTCACTTCCAATCAACTCTCAAAAACAGAGAGAGAAAAGAAGAAAAACTGGCACTTAGCTTCGGATGCTCGAGGAGAACCAGGAAACACGTCCGCTCACCGCAACTCAGTCGAGAGGTGGCGCTCTACTCCGAAAGGGGTCGAGGGACCCCTTTCGGAGTAGAGCGCCACCTGTTGCACGCAACTGCAACTAGGTCCGCCGCCATCACGCAGGGGTCCCGCCAGAACCGCCTGCATCTTACCGCCTACAACGGTGCTGCTTACACTTTGAGTCCCAGTCTGCGCGCGCCGCATCAATATGCCATCGCATTGCTGCGTACCTTTGTGTACGCAGGATGGATACGTTGACGGAGACGGAAAAAAGGTACGTGTCAAACAAGTTCTTAATTGTTCAAAAAGAAAAACCGAGTCCTCGTGTTGTTTACAAAACTTTCGCGGGTTAGACAAGAAAACGCTCTTATCATCCGTAAGCGGAAGCATCGCAAACGATTATATGTTGTATTAGTGTGGCCGTGTGTCGCGCCCCGTCTTTAACAAGAGAGGTACGGCCGCGGTTCAGTGCGCGGCTCGCACGCGCGAGCGGCTCCCTCCTTCAGTGCTTCTTCACTGCAACCGAAGTCATTTTAGGTACTTGTTCGGCGTGTAGATGCATGATTACTTCTTCCGCATGTTCGTTTCCTTTACTCACGCCGGTAAAGAGTTTTCCAGAAAACAGACGTCGGGTGGAGGGGGTGTACAGACTAAATGCAGTGTACTACACCGAATCTGAAGATCACTCGAACCCGCCTTGCGATCGTGGGAACTTTTGGGGTGGTGGCCTGGACAGAGTGCCAAGGCCGTACCGCTAGACGTTTAGGGACGTTACGCTACTAATCAGTTTGGAAATTTGTGAGAATGCAGCCAAAGAGTTGATGTCTAGAGCATGTTCAACAATTGTTATTCTGTTCAACGGTTTTTATTCCTGAACACATTGTATCTTGTTCTTCGGTCTTCTTCTTGCTTCGGTAGCAGGAACCCTTGATAAAGAAACTTCCTGCACTGAATGGGATAAAAAAAAAATTATACACCGGTTTGACACTCAAACAGCTGTGCATATTTTCTGTGCAATTAAAAATCAATTCCAGCACACTTTTTTTTTTTGCAATCTCGCATTTTGGGTGGGTTCAAGCAAACATGGTACGTTTACAAACGCCGTGAAATAAACCCAATACATCAGTGGTTCTGGAAAGTCTACTCTGTAGCTTTGTGAGCAATGCCATAAACCGCTTAATTTCTTAGTCTTTGAAAGTTGACCGAGGAAGGAATTTAAAATGCTGCTCCAACAACCCATACAGCCTTTTCTGCTCTTCTGTACGATTTTCGATTGCGATTTCTTCAACACTCAAGGTTGTGACTCGTGAGGCACCTTTTGCAGTTACTGGTACGCGGTCGTAAGTTTATTGGGGGAGTATGAAAAACAAAACGAGCGAGTTCTCGGCTGTCACCGAACGACAAGCTCACGACGGGGGCAGCGTACCGGGTCGTTCGGAGTGGGCACGCTAAAAGCGCGATCACTATAATTAACTGTATTAAAATTATGGAATGTTACTAAAAAAATCACTACAAAACAAAAAAGAACTTGCCTGTTCCGTGAGTAGTTAGCCCTTATCGATGCGGGGACCACGTATGCTTCGATGAAGAAGTTGTAGCTTCTTTCCATGCACCGGTTTGTGCCTGACCGGCTCCTTTAGGACTGCTCCACCTCTCTGTCACTTATATGTGGCAGTATCGATAGATCATTAGATCAACAGGTGATCGGGAAAACACCCGCACAAGCCATAGCTCAAAACGCTACAGCGGCTACGCTGCACGCCGACCGGTCGAACCCTGCGTAATGGCGGCGATCACCCAATGTTGCTAGATGTTTTACTATTCCCGCTAAATTTTTTTCAGTGTTGCCAAAATTCCGAAAGGGGTCTATTCACGAGGGCGCCCATCAAACCATTCGGCCAATCTTGGCCGCGACACGATCACATGGTCGTGTTGCCGCGGGGTCGATCGGGATCTCGAATTCGGCTCCCGACGCGCCGCTTTCTCTCCTAGCCACTGGAGGGCGCTGCAGGCGCCCCCGTGGCTAGGAGAGAAAGCGGCGCGTCGGGAGCTAGGTGGCGAAAGCTACCGCCCGATCCAAAGGGCTCAGCCGTATTCATCCATCCATGGCAGGCGAGGAGAAACCTCCTCGCCCATCGATAGATATACTCGGTGGGGCAGGGGGCGAGAGGCCTCTAAGAACTCCGGACGCGACCGAGACGCAGGGACTGGCAGGCAAGTGGGTGGCGACCGGATCTAGGATATCGCGGGACGCGAGGCCTAAGGGCCTCCTTTGTGTTTAGCTTTAGCCTTAACGTGCATTTGTAAATAATTGTGTAATGTAGCTTGTATTTGTAGTTTAGATTGAGTGTTTTGTAGTGTTGTGTTTTATTGTACCAATAAACTGGGAGCGGAATTATGCTCCCATGAAAGAACCAGGCTGGACTCGGGTTGTTGACGGACCACGTGGGAAACGGCGAATCGGCGGCGGTATGCGAATTCCCACAATTTGAAGCGCCTAAAACGCGAATTTCCGCACGATCAGACATCGTTCACGCCGTTCCGACGTCCGACCCACAGGGAGCATTGGTCGGAGTGGCCGCGGAGTGATGTCCAGGGGCCCTAATCTGGACAGTTGGCGAGAAAGTCGCGAGAAACCTGGCGGCCGTGATTGGACAACGCCGCACTTGACCTTGGCGCCGGCCAATCGGAGCAGCCGGATTTCTCACCGGTGTTTTTGCCAAGTGTCCAGATTAGGGCCCCAGTTGACTGCAGAGGTCTCACGGTTCCTGTCTTGGCGGGCGCCATGGCGTCGAATCACGTTGATCACCGTTCAACATAACTAAATGCCAAACGTGAGAAGCTGCGTGTCCTATTTGAGCCAACACAAGCGGGGGAGTGAGGCACACAACGAAGCACCACACGAGGGATTTCCAGTAAGGAGCAGTCACCTCCTCCTTACTATTCGATGCTCATATTGGCTCGCATGGGACCATAGCGTTAGGCGTCTTTCTAGTTAGTTTTTGCTCCTTATACATCATTAGCTCACTGCTAGTTTGACTTTAATGAGAAACCTCTACAGCCAGAGTGGTACTTGTCCGCTTAAACACCTTCAAATGTTATTCTCTCAGCAGTTGAAATCGAGGCTCCACAAATGACTTTATGTACAAAAACCCGTCCCGTGCATATTAAGCCTCCTTCATATACGCGTCCTGCGTATATGAAGAATCCGGTATGTTGCCTTGAGAAGATTCCGGTATGTTGCGTACTCACTTTGCCCCGACTGCAGTAAACCTCTTTGTCAGGAGTAGAGGCGTGCTCTGGGAAGACCCCATAGCGGTGGTTGGCCCAGTGGTGTATCAGGTGGTATTCTGAGGTAAAAAGAAAGCAATGCAAATAACTTTCAAATAACACAAGAATGAACGTCGCAACCAGCAAAAGTTGTGTTTTAATTAACTTATATTTCGGCATGAAGTAAGTGAATTCCAATTCGGGTTTCTTAGAGAACTAGGCACAATATCTGCTCTGGTCACGCAGATAGAACTGATGCTGGCGAAAAACAAAAACTGGTCCTTAAAGGGGCGATGCAACAATTTTTGTACTTTGCACAAATACCGCTTAGAACGGATCCCTGACATTAAAGACCTATGAAACACGCGTTCGTTTTTCACCCCACGCAAGAAGAAGTCCCACAAAAAATTAAGGAAAAACGAGCAGCGTTCACTCCCTCAACTCGCAGCCAGAACAAGTGGCCACGTGACCTGGAGACGATTATATGCCGCCAATGTAGATCACATATCCACGCGCTGGGGTTGGCAAAGCACAGGGCACGCGCTGAGTTCCAGATATTTTTATGGCTCGGCTATTGTCGTCGTTGCAGCGATTAGACACGGGCCACCACCCGAATGCTTCTCGAGCTAGTAATTATCACGAGCCCAAATCGAGTGCCCACGCAATGCTCGGGTCCAATCTATGAACAGCATTTAAATATCGTCATATGGGTGTACTGTGATACCCACGTTACGTCATGAAATTTTGCAAAGGAGAGATTGAATGAAAATGATCGCTTTTGTCCTTGAAATTACACCGCAACAAAGGAGTTTCTTGGCCAGCGGAGTTGCGTGCGAGTATCCTTGAGTCTCACTAGTGCCAGTAAGCTCGTGTATAGTGAAAAACATTCCAACTGAATATCGTTGGAAGAGCTCCTTTAAAGTGTTCGTCGATTTGACAAAGGCATTCGATTATATAAAATACATCATACATTCAGAAACCTAAACGCTACGGTTTCGTTCGTATTAGTATTTCGTAGTAAGGCTCGCGGTGGGTTTGTGCCGTTTGAGTTCAATTAAGGTGGTTTGTTACTCCGCATATACCATTAGGTTTTTCGTCCTCTTTTCCATATTTTCAAATGTTCGGAGAGCTACAAATAGTCCTCTTTTCTCTGCCAGATCTACTGCGTTTCTAGATTCGTGTCCCGATCCTGCCTAGATCGCAGGGTTCTGTTCGCTTCCTATGGTAGTTTATGTAGAAGACGGCCGACGCTGTCCAGCCTTTGGGTCCGGTTGTAGCATCCGTGTATAATATTAGGTTTATTTGCATAAACAAATAACGATGCTGGGAGCCTGCAGAAAAAAAGCTGTAACATTGACAGCTTGACAAAGCCGAAGGCCCTCACACTAACAGATTCACAGCATGAATGACACATAATAACGAAAACAAGCAAATATAGTCAAGATATTGGCGGTAAAAAATATTGCATAAGAACAATCACATGATGACTAAGAAAACTATAACCCATGGACACATGAAAAAAAAAGACTATGGATAAGGAAGCGATATGAGGTCGACCGCAAACTTTTTATTCTGAGGTTTCAAAGGAGGTTTCTCCTCTTAAACCTCTGAAACAGAGGTTTCAGAGGAGAAGATACGTGATTTTATACAAAGAAAAAAGTTTAAGGCATCCTGAAAAAGCTACGTAGTTCCTTAAAAGTAATATGTTCTGGCAGAACACCTGTGTCAAAAGTTGTTTAATAATCTTGGCAGATTGTTTTGTAGCATTTTTAAACCGTACTTTGTTCTTCATGTGTCTATTTTCCAAGGTTCATTATTTCGCGTGTTATATGTTGTTTCGCTACTCTTTTGTTTCGCCACTTTTTTGTGTTTTCTTACTTAGTTTTTCCTTCAATTTTTGTGTCTTAACGCGTCTATGTTTTTCAAAAAGCATTTGGTATAGTGCGTGAGATCTCTTAGATCGCATGGATTTTTTTGTCGACGAATGAGGCGTTCTTTGCCTGTTAGTATTCTTAGGCATATGGATACCCGTCTTCCTTTCCCGGTGTGTTGCTGTCTCCTCTTGTGGGTTTCCTCCTGTTGTGTCATTAGGTCTTCTATCTCGGAGTGGAAGATACATTTCTTTAATACCGCCCTCTTTATGTCTCTTTAGTCGTAGTGTGGTTCTTGTTTTGGTGAGCATGGTTTCGAATTTTGTGTAATGTCTCCTTCGTGTGGTGCAGGGTATGTAAGGACAGTCGGGCAACGCTGCAGCATATTGTGTGGGACTGTGAACAACGGGGGCATGAGGCATCGGGGACCCAGGACTGGCCGGAGGACTTCAAGGATGGTGTGATGTGTGTGGACTTGGAGGGACAAAGGGGTTTCGTCCAGCGAACCCGGCGCTTGCTTCACCGGCAGACTGTGCGTAGGTGTGTTGGTGAAGGGGTGACGGAGGGGTAGGGGTTTTCGCAGGACAAATAAAGAGGTTTTCCACCAGAAACGGGCTGCGCACGTGATTTAGAAGGCCAGCGGCGCGCTAACCGGCTTCTTCGTCGTTTTTTTTCCGGCTCCTCGGAGCCTGTTGGAGATTCCCTTTAAGGCTGCGGTCCCACGGCAGCCATCTTGAACAAGGCGTTAGTTCAACCAATAGATGGCGACACGCACCCGTGGGGTGTATTTAGTGGGGTGGCCGAAACATTGGTTCACAGTGGGATGGCTCGAGCACCATCACGTTCTTCTCGTGGCCTTGCTCGCGCCGCTGCCAGCTGTGCTCAGCTAGCTCAAGTAGCGTGGCCACATGAAGGCAGCCTAGCGTGGCCCAGCAAACGGATGTATGTCAGGCTGGGTATAAATTGTTCTCTGCTATAGGGAGATGCGGTTCGGCGGTTGTAACGGGCTTTCGCAATAAATCTTACCAAGAAGGAAACAAATGTTGATTGACGTGTCAATAATCTATCAATGAAAATTTCCTCTGCAGGAATGCACGCTCAGTAGACTCTATCTTCCAAGACACCAGTGGAAACGGACGTCAAGTAAACTGCTTCGCGATTTACGGTACTTACCTCACCATTTTAATGACGACTAAAATAACGTCACGAAATATTGTGTTTCACAGGGTCCGGAAGATGTGTAAAGGTTGTTACACTATACACTCCGTGCGGGAACTATAGGGGGCGCTTTGAAAAACGCGCGCAGCGCCGCTAGCGGAGGAGCTGGCGTTCGACTGTGAGGCGCGTTCAGCAGCCTGCGGCGCCTTTTCGCATGCCAAACTGTGGCGGCGGAAGCGCGCGCGGACGAAACTTTTGCTTTTTGAGCCGATAAGTTGAGGGTGACGTTGCATGAGTGCTGGGGCAGAAGGGCATTTAGCTTTTCTCCACTTCTTATATATTGAGTTTGAGTCGTTATTAGGGGTAATTTCTCTAGTTGCGGCCGAAAAAGGAGTTGGAGCAATTTTCCGAAAAACAAGACGGCCGCCACCATAATTGCTCTGAGTGGGAAATTTATTTCGCTCGTCGCTGTAAACCTGGGACTGCTGGAACGATGATATTTGGAGGCGAGTGAGATGTTCACTAAGTTTGTGCACGAAGAGTGCCAAGTTTCTTTAAGACAGCAGGTATGAAAGTTATGTTTCTAACGAATAAAGAAATAAAGCTGTAAGGGATATCCAATATTGGACCCAAAATGTTGTGTTATAGCGGGCTGTGCAAAGTGCAGATTTGGGCAGACAGGCGCTTGGACTTGACAGTAACATGACACAGCACTTATTATACAAAAAGAAAAAGGTAGCATAGGGAAACCAGGTGAAAATTTGGTTTGGGCGGCGTAACTCAATGGGAACCGGTTTTGACCATGAAAAGGCTGTCAAGAGAACACCACTGATTGTGGGAGGTGGAGACTTTACAGGTAGGAAGGGACTGGTGGACTGTACTTCCAATTGAAACAACTTTACGAAAGGTGCTTCCAAAGCCGAGAAAGCAAATCTGTCGGCCAACACACGGTTTGGCCGCCAAGGGCTTTTGCGGTCAGCTGTTGTGTAATAACCTGTTGTACGAGGTGCTGATTTTCGGCGCACGGGTACTTTGACATGACCGTCAATTGGCACAACATTATTATAACAAAAAGAGTTGGAATAGCGAAACCAGGTGGACATTTAGTTTGGGCGGCGTAACTAAATGGGAACAAGTTTTGACCGTCAAAGGCTGTCAAGATAATACCACTCATCGTGGGAGGTGCACACTTTACAGGTTGGAAGGGACCAGTGGACAGTACTTCCAGTTCGAACCACTTTGCGATAGGTGGCTCCAAAGTCGAGAAAAAAATTGTTGTCTACAGAACTCAGGGTGTCAGCGTTTTCACATCCAAAAGGAGGCTGATCCAGAAAGAAAGCACACCACATAAACTTCCATACTCAATCGTCGATTCTCCAGTGAATCCGAGTTTCATTGTTGTTTTCTTTAGATTTATATTTGTCACTTTTTTTACCGTTCAAATCTTTCTTCATGAAGTACAGATTGCACGCCATACTTGTCCGGAAATATCAATGACACGTACGATGGGGACGAAACTTCTTTGGAGGGCATTCCTCCAACGAAATTGGCATTTCATAACCGCGAGTGTGGGATGGCATTTCAGTTCGTTCTATCGGCGCTTACACATGTAGGCGTTACTGGTACGAAAACAAACGCAGAGCGCAAAGCAGCAGTGTAGAATATGTCAGTCGTGATGACACAGTGGCAGACATGATCGGGAGACCAAATTTCTCGCGTCGTACGGCACGGCTCCATCGTTGTCGCTGTCCCAGAAAACATCGGCGAGGTGAAAAACTGTGAAACTTTGTCTCCACGAGACACGACGCATAACTATTGAAGCACTTAATGACGCAGCACAGGCAGCCCTTCATGCTGTGAACCCAGCGCAAACGCACCACTCCGACTTCAATATGCGTACCAACGTACGCGGCGTGGTTTCGGTTTCGTTTTCTCCGGGGTTCTCACTGCCTACCTTCGCTACCGGCCGCGCGGCGGCGCGCCAGTCGCGTCGCACGGAGTGTATAGTTCCCACAAAAAAAAAAAACGTCGTTGCAATATTTTCG